ATTTTAATTCTGCTCTGAGGTTAAAGAAACATACTGAAGAATTTTATCCATTATATTACTGAATCAAACATGCCTATAGATTAATCCAGTTTGGGGTGCTTTATTGATTCAATTAAATTAGATGCAGAATAGGAAAAAGCAAATTGAATTATTGTGCCTTTATCTGGCTGTACCACTCAGCCATCCTGCTTAAAGAAACATAGAATGGTGAATGGAAATAAAGAGGAGTTACATCACTTGTCACTGAACTTTTGTTCTGGGTTGGTTAACCTGGCTTCTGCGAGGTTAGAGCTAATCTACAGGGATGCTCACAGCAGGTGCGAAATTGCCAAAACCTCCCTCCTTCCAGCCCATTCACTTTGTTATCTTCACTGAAAAGTCACTGAAACTAAAGAGGCTTTTTGCCCTGGTCATTTTGGTCATGTTTGCAGGTAAAGCAGTAGTACCTGGAGTGGCCTTTTTAGCTATCTCCTGCTTCACTGCACTGCCACAGTCAAGGCCTTTTTTTCTGGTGGTAACAGCTTTCTGCAAGTATATTTGCTACTCTTTCTGCATTATTGCTACAGGCCTATCTGTTAAATCTTAAATAATAATGAATCATTAAAAAGGGTATTAACATACTTGCTGGCCCTATATGTGTGTCTTATTCTTCACAGTTTTCTAGCAATTTCTATTAAAAAAACCTCATTACAGAGATTATTGTGACATGCTTTGAAACAGCAACATTCATTATGTATTATCTATGTATTGGAATTTGGGAAATTAATGCACCAGGAAATGAAATGACTCACCCAGAGTCTCTGAAGATGTATGTTCAAGTCATGATTAAAATCCAAGCTGTAGATCTGCATTGTGTTTGCTGCACAACCTTTTTTGCTCTTTCTCTTTCTTTTTTTTTTCTTTTAAACCACATCCCACGGTTGTAAATTCAGCCAGAAAATTCCACTGTGCTACTTTTGTTTTCAAACTGTAATTGGCATTTAGCCAACTATTAGTTAAATATGGCTTGTTTGTGAGCATTCCCTTTGCTTTGGGGTTCAAAGGATAGCCAGAAAGTGGCATAATTGGGAAACAAGAGACATGCTGTGGAGAAGAGTGGGCAGAAAAACAGAGAGGCAGAGACCAAGGAACTGCTCAAGTGATGGAGTGACTGTGAAATGTGCTACTGATTGTGTTGTGAGTCTTGTATCCACAGATGATCAGAGAAATTAGGGTTTTCCAACCTTTCAGTGAAGGGGGGGTAGGGCAAAAAGAGGTAAGGGAGAAATGAGGAGAGGCTAGAAGTGAGTGGGCTGCACAATGGGTTTTCCCTTACAATACCTGCTCTGATATATCCACTGCCCAGGTGGGTAGGATGGAAGTATATTTATCTTTTGGTGTATGTTTATCTTTTTATAGGTTACATCTTCTGTAAAAATATGATGCTTTAAGTGCCAATCCCCAAATTATACCAGTGAAATAAACTTTCAAAGTGCCTACAGTTTTCAGATTTATGGTTTGTGGGTATGTTGACAAGTCTTTATAGGGGACTTCCACTGGCATCTAGAGGAGACTTAAATTGCAACCTTTGGAGGGAGACCCAGTAGTGCTCTGGTCACAGGGTTTTTTTCAGCAGGCATGATGATGGATACTGTTCTTGGGACTAGCTGGCCAAGAATTCCTGATGTTTGTAGTAACTGTGTTTGTTGTAGAGCAATTAAATGTCCTTAGACATTAACAATACTTAGTCATCATGTGGGATTAGAAGTTTATTTCTTAGCTTCTGTTTTATATTAAATGCCAGATGGAGAGAAATGGAATGGAACATGAAATTCAGAGCAATAAAATTGCCATTTATGTATATAGACAGATAAGTGAAAAACAATTTTCATTTAAGGGAATATATCTTTGCTTTGGAGTCTTCATGAATACTTTATCTTAGCTTCAGTTAAACAAGACAGATGTGTCAAAAATTTAATTTGTAATAATAATGGTAAAAAAATTAACATATGTTTATATTTTCCATTCTACTTTAGATTTTTGCGGAACACCATTCATCTGTAAGCTACTAAATGCGTATGTATTGTTGAATAAAGAATAATATTTCAAGTTACAGAGGTAGTTTCTTTTTTTGCCACTTCTGCAACTGCAGTTTGAGAACTCCTAGCTGAGAAGATCAAAGTTTTAAATGTGGGATCCATATAGTTCCAGTGTAACAGGTTTAAAGGCTGCAATGCCACAAAACATTTAGGAACATGACACATTTGACTTTTAAATCCTTTCGTTTTCAATACAAAATCTGCAGTATAGTATCTGAAGCTTCCCATTTCCTGCTTTTCTTATCAGTAATACTTCTGTGTTTCCTGAGACAAGCTAAATATAAGTTAATGTTTTGATCTGTTTGAAAAGATATCTTTGTCATGCAAATAGAACAGACTCAGTCTCCAGCTCATTTCTCTTCTATTTAGATATGTATGCTGAGCATCAGATGGACTACTGAATATCTAGGTGTACCTTGTGAATCCAGATTTTGGATTGTCTGGGACAATTTCAATTGCTCAATGAAAATGTAAGTTAGTAGTACTCTTAGAAATCATGAGGTAGGTTAAAAGAAACCGATCAAGTATTAAGACTTTATTAATCCTCAAAACTGCTTCACTGCTGTGAAGTTCCAGTATTTGAGGAAATTCTCAGAATATTGAAGCAATAATAAAAACAATGCACAAATGAAGAGACAATGTCAATAGAAATTTTAATGAAGAGTCAGTTTTATTAAATATAATTTGTAAACTAAGGTCAGGCTTTTAAGAAAAGTTTTTGCATATCATATTTTTCTATTTTTTAAGGATCTTTTTAATCTGTAACATATCTGGTGAATCTATGAGGGTGGTGAGGCACAAGTTACCCCAAAAAGTTGTGGATGTCCCATCTGTGTAAGTGACCAAGGTGGGGTTGGATGGGGGCCCTGAGCAACCTGGTCTAGTGAAAAGTGTCCCTGCCCATGGAAGGGGGCTTGGAACTAGGTGATCTTTAAGATCCCTTCCAACCCAGGCCATTCTGTGATTCTATGATTCTATTAATTCAAAGTATACAACTTCCTCATAAAAGAAAAAAACAATCCTGTTTAGAGTAATACATTATCAACAGCAACTGCACTTACCTACAGCTGTGAACATGATTTCCCACACAGGAAAAAATAGACAGTCACTTGTTAAAGCAAAAAATCCAAAGGAAAGAAAAAGGAAAAAAAGTCAAGGTTTATTGCCTTTTCACACTGAAACTCAGATCTCCTTTTTTCCAGGCAGTTGCCCTCCTTAAGAAGAAAATTAATAAAATACTTAAAATTTCTGTAAAAATTGTCATAGATAACAGGAACACAAGAATCATGTCAGCTTAAGAGACTGTGAAAAGTAACCTTTATAATTTTATTTTTTCTAAATTTTAACAAAAAGAGACCTTATTATTAATATACTTATATATTAACTTTTATTGATTTCTCAAAGTACGTGTATTCAGGTAGTACATCTTTTTGAGTTAAAAAGTGCTATAGAGCACAATTTTTTTATTACTTCATCATTTGGTAGATTCTGCTTGTTGACAAGGCAGAGTAGAAATAAGTGTAACTGCAACAATGGGGAATTACAGATCTATCTGGGAAGTGGCAAAAGGGAGTCATTGGAAACAATGAAAATCAGAGAATCAATCAAATTGGAAAAAAAGTCTAGTTTGTATTATCCTAAAACATGCCTGGCGTTATAGAGATAAATATATACAGATTTTTATTTCCAGACAGGTTGTTGCATTGTGGAAGGTATTTTAAGCAGATCTAATGCTGATTCCTGTTCAAGCTTGTGCAGGCTATTACTCATCTGAAGTACTAATTTCTGTTGTCAGCTTCTGTTCAAATTACATTTGTTTATTCATTTGAGAATTTTAATGAATTGATTCAAACTTAGTTTTGACTTCAAATCAGTTATATTGTTCTAATTTTAAGCAGCTCCATAAAACTATAGTCTCCTAAGGTACAAACATGCTTGCAGTTGTCCCAAGAAAAATCCATAAAAAATGTAAGAATGAGACTTGTTTTGACAAATTTCAACATGAGTCATGAATACTCAGGATTCTTACACCTTTGAACAGGATTTTTCAAGCTGCATAATTTTGATCCCAAAATAATACCTCATGACATGTTATCACAAATAAATTCTCAGACCTTAAGACATTACTTTTTATAACTACTCACAGACTTATGACCTGTAATATATAGGAAGTCTCTTATCTTCTCTTTAGATTTTGTACTTCCTGAATAGTAGATAAATGTTGAACTGCAGTGTCTGAAAAATTCTGTTCATTTTGGGTACATCAAATGGAAGAATTCTGGTGATGAAACCTAAAGATCCCTGCTTCATCATAGTATTTATGCATATTGCTATATATTTATTAGTAGTGAAAACTTCATTCTGAGATGGATTTTGGTAGGAATTCAGATAATCTCTGATGCAACTGCACTGAGGCCTCAAACCTGGTGTTTCTTAGAATGTAAAAGTAAAAAGCACATTGTGTTTTTCATATTTCAAAAGTATAAACATCCTGTGAGAGAGGCACTTGGTGTGCAGAGATTGAATAAAATCATGTCACATTGTAGTCATTGATTCCAGTGTTCCTTGAGATGGACCACACAGTTCCTTTTATTGTTGGCCTCCAGCTTTGTGGAAGCAAGGTTACTTTCTTAAGCCTAGCTAGCATCTTTCCTTTTTTTATCATATCATGACAGATTATGATTGCAATTCATGAGTGTGTTACTGTGGGGCTCAGACAAATTTTAGCTGTTCGATGATATTCACAATTCAGAAGTAATAATAATTTGTAATGTTTGGGGATATTTTAACAAACTATTTCTTCAGTGTATTGCTTGTAGTGCTGCCAAAATTGTCTCTGGGTTTCTCTACAAATTCAATTTTTAATTATGTTAATTCTGAAACTGAATTTCTGTGTGTCCTTTAGCCAGTGTGGAAGCATAGTTTGTGGATTCATCTGTAAAACTTACTGAGAAGGTAAAACTGCAATGTATATATCCAAAAAAAGATGTGATAATCCAGACATCCTGGATGAAAATTACTGTAACTCATAAAAATAATGTAGCTGTCTTACATCCAACCTATGACATTCATAGAAAAGACAAATACAATGGAAGAATTTATTTTGAAAATGCTGCCAGGGCGACAAGTCCTCATCCTTCATCAAGAGCACTTTGAAAGATGATGATCTTTACACTTGCTTCATTGTAACTACCCCAGATGGAATTTTGAAAAAGAGAATAGGAATTATTCAGGCAGGTAATCAAATCCCTCATTGTTTTTTAAATTTAAGATATATGCAAGATATATGCAGATATATGCAGAAATCCATGACAATTCAGGGAGTGTCTGGCATTGCAATTTTTCTTTTCACCTACATAGGATGCCGAAATGGAGTAATTTGGAGAAAAGAACTAGCACAACAGAAAAAAAATAGTACTTTGACAAAAGATCATTTTAAGAGAAGTGGGAATTGAGAAGCAGAGATGGAGAAGACAGACAGAGCTCACAACAGCCATGGATTACATGGCAGACTACAGGTCATCACAATGATGATATTTCCAGTGGGACAAGGCTCTCATAGCATTCCAACAAGTTGTAGGAACTCTTCAGAGGATGAAATTGCAACTACCCATGAAATTACATGAATGAACCTTGTAACTCCTCCTGGAGGGTACCATATTTTGATGAGGGCATATTATGAGGGTACCATATTATGGTGAGGGCATTCCTTGTCTGAAACTAGGATTGTTTTTTACCTAAAGCTCTCCTGTTCTTGCTTTTTCAGAAGGAAAAAAAACATTTAGGAATGGTGTGGCAACAAAAGGGAGTGAAGTAGGGAAGCTTAAATGAAGAAAAAGAACCTCTTGCTTTAAAAGGAGACTTTTTTAAAGATGGAAAAGGGAAGAATAAGAGAAAAAGAGTCACCTATGACCATGTACTTTCTGTGTAGCTATCTACTTTCCAAAGGCTCTGTAATTACCTGACCACTCATCCATTTGGTTCCCCTTTCAGCTCTGTGACTAAGAGGAGATAGAACTCTTTTCTAGTAATTTTCTGTGCATTCTTATTCAGCATTGGTCAACTGACAACTATGACACAAATTACTGAGTATCTCTGATGGGAGAGAATCTTTAGAAGGTCGTTATGTACGTATGACAGAATAGCCTTCAAAGGAGAAGTAGTTTTTCTTATTCTTTTTTTGATTTCTTATTCTAAATATGGAAAGATTCTGTTCCTTTTTCCCATTCTCCAGTGTGAAAATAGATGCCATTCAACATTTCATTGTATTTCCCAGCTAGGAAATAATGGATTGAAAGGAAATTTAGTTTCTAGCACTTGAAAGACAGGCAAAACAGATCTCTTACTTGGTTCAGTCCAACCTGGCTTCTGGCAGTGCTAAACCCTTATTCATCGTGGGTTTATTTTCTGTATAATCCTAAACATTAGATGCAGTAGAGATCTGTAAGTTCATTTAGTCCTTTTCATGGTCAAGGCATTAGTGATCTCAGCTATTTGTTCCTGGATGTTTCTGCTAGAGTTAATCTGAAACGAAGCAAGAAACAAAGCAGTCAACTTCCTGTGGGATGTACGCTTCTGTCCAATACCTCTGATGGGCAACTGCCTCACATATTTCAGCACTCCGTAAACCACAGAAAAGTGGATCAGGTATCAGAGGTATGATTTTTTAAATGATACTCTGGGGATCAGTATTCTCAGTACATGGGATTTCTGTCTTGGTTTGAGCACACTAAAAATGAAAGCTTAATCAACAGCAAACCCTGCATACTTCAAGTATCTCCATTTAAATCTACTACAGAGAGAGATAATAATTTTGAATAGAAATTAATCCTTTTCCTTTTAAATAATCAAGATTTCTGAGAACAATCCTATTCAGCTCCTGATAGATGTGTAGAAACATGATCTTTATAAACACTGAACTGAAGAGAATGAAGTGTATCAGCAGGGAAGATAAAATGTTACAGCTTTAATCTACACTGAAAGTTAAATATGTTGTTAAAACTAGAGTCTAGAGAAGATATTTATTTATGAAATAATTATAGTGGAACTGTCAGTTGGGTTTTATCTTACTTTACTAGCACCTTTGTCAGTACCAAATATTTTAAAGTCCTGGATGACATCTTGCTGTGATTAAACTGTAAACTTCAAATTCACTTCCATGCAACCAGTCCTTTAACTTGCTACTGAGACCAGTTATATAATTTTTTCTTCTTTGTCTTCTAAGCTGTAAAATTAGGACATTTCTGTTTGTCTTTAAAGTGGCTTTTTTTCTGCAAGAGTGTTGAGCAAGCTGAGTGTTGGTTTTATAATTTCACTGCATATGGATCTTGTTCTAGAAGATTAATATACAGAAATTATTCAGGTCCTAGTATATTAAGTGCTTTTTAAGGAATTTTATTTTTGATGGAATTAAGAAATCTGGCTAACATACTGGAATGATCATTTTATAAGTAATTAAACTTTTTTTCCTATTACAGTGTTAGGATTTATAAGTTATTGATTCCCAATAGACATTACTTTTCTAAAAGCATTAATTTACTTACAGTCCCCCAGACAAATAAGCAACTTAGTGCAAAATCCATTTCTTTGTTTATAACAGTTAATCAAGAAAAATTTAATAGACTTTTTTTTTTGTGAACTGCATGGTGTCTAATGCCTTGTAGTTCATGCTTTTAGTTTCAAATACTGGTTGGCTAGGCTAAAGTTGTGAAGTGTTCCCCTTTAAAGGGTGCAACTTTGTGGACACATAATATTCAACATGAATCTTAAGCTTGCTTGGTAAATTGGCACAGTGAACTTGAGTAGATATTAGGTTTTTGTGTCAATCAAAACTGAAGCCTGGTTTATAATTTAAATTGTGCTACCAAGGCATTGAAAATTGCCAGGATTTATCTACACTGACCTGTTACTGTTGGACCCAGAGACATTCCTGCACCAACTTAAGCAGTTAAGTATGCCATTGAGGAATCTGCAGCTCATACTTCGATGAAAGTTGACAACAGAATATAGATATAGATATAGAATATATTATTTGCTTTCAAAATTTCCATTTAAAGGAAATAGTAGAAATAAATGGAAATAATGCCATATGGTGTTATGCTTGTGATGGAGATTCTTAACTAGACTAAATGGGAAATGTTCTTCACATGTCAATCATATCTGCTAGCATTTAATAAATTTGGATAAAGTATCTTGGATTAACTTCTGCTTTCTTGCAAAACAGTGAATATTTCTGCACTCAGTCTGTTCAAAGTTGCTCTAGTGCTTCATTTCTGGTAATCAACAGAGGTCGTGAGCCTGATTCTGCTTTCCCATATGCTTTGTATAATTTTTAAAGGTATGAATATAAAATGAGTAAATTTGGTATGATTCTGATTTGCATAGTTTGAAGCCTAAAGTGCTGATGCTTAATGAATAAAGATTTCAAGTAGTGTCTAATGGTGACAGTAGTGTCACTAGGTCCAGCAACTCAAGTGGTAATAAGACCCTGATATTGCAAGATCAAGAAGTTAAAAAAGTTTGGAAATCATGGCTTGCCTTTTAAAGCAAAAACAGAGAAGAGAATCAGTTATTTGAAAAGTATTAAGCATGGGTTTTTATTAGTATTTTGACAGCATCTAGAGTAAAAGTGTCTTTATAAAAAGAAGTCTGTGGTGCAGCCTTTCATATGTGAAGAAATAAGAGATCACAACAGTCTGAGGCACCAAAATAATAGTGGAGAAACTCTGTTTAGGACTCGCTTTCTGGCTCAATCTCTGGTTGCAGAACAGCGATTCACTCCGCCACAGTCTGGGTGGGGCGAACACAATTCTTTTTCAATTAGGGACAAAAGTAAGAAACAAAAAGAATAATTTTAAACAATGGCTGAACTGACATAACTGTCTGAGGGACGTTATAGCTCTCATTACAGAGGCCTTTTCTTGGTGTTCTATACTCATAGTATCATTGGTAGATGGAAGAGCCTAGAAGTGGTGATAAATCACCACTTAGGTAAGATTTTTGATGCAATTATTCTAATGACTGATTTTTTTATACATATATTTTTTATTTTTTTTTTTTTACTAGATTTGACCTGAGCTTAGTCCTGGAACTTTGTCAGAATATACAAGAAAAATGTTAGGACAGATATTGTTCTTTTTGCCTTAAATTTCAGCAAAAAAATTTCCTATGGCATCTAAGAAATAGGTGAGAGAGAACTCTTGCAGACCGCACAATGTTACCCATGCTTTCTTTATGGGGAGTTTTGTGCAACAGACTGACAGAAGAGAAACAATATTCAGGATATTATATTGGAAACTTCACATGTACTGTAGCTAAAGGATATTCTTACAAGTGGATGCAGTGCTGAAATTCTGCACCATAATTGCAAAGAACTTGAGAGTTCATGCTTCCACAGTTACACATGAATGTATGGTCAAAGAACAGTCTAGTTATCCCACAGGAAGATACTTGCTGGCTGGGTGAATCTGATACTTCTTCTTTTCCTGCAGTGTGAGCATATATCCAACAGTTTTCAGAACTAAATTCAGTGTTTTGTTTTTTTTTTACTCTCAATGTTCCCACATTTTATGACTCACAAATCCTCCTGCACTAAGCAGACAAAACTCTCACTTTCAGTGAAGACTTCTTGTACATTTTTTTCTAAGATATAAAGATTATGTAAGAATAGTCACTATCTTTATTCCCTGATTCTTAACAAATAGTTTAAGGGTGATCTACAGTTTCTTATGTACAGTGCTTAGAGATGTATGTCTGAAGACTGATTTTGAGCTCTGTATAAAGTGTGAGGAGCAGGGATTGAAGTCACTACTAAGAGAAGAAGTGTTAGAATTGGAAATGTCACTAGAATGTGAGATGTTACACAGGAACTGTTGATCATCGAAAAGATGTTAATTCATGCACTAGCTGCCTGGAAGAGAAAGCATTTGAAGCTGCAGAGATTGCAACTTTAATTTCAAATGGAAAGCATAGAGAGAGCAGTGCACTGGGCAGTCCATTGGGCAAGAGTGTACAGAGGTGCCTCTTTAACTTGTCATCCCAGGTGGTCACTCAAAACACATTAAACAACTGTGTCATTTCACCAATTGCCAGCCACATACCTAACAGCAGCAAAGCAACAGCAGGAGTTCTTGCAATCTTTCTTTCTTATGTTTTAAATTATTAACTTTTGCAAAGAAGTGTATGCAGAGAAAGGTTACGTTTCCTGTGTCTAGCACATTGGAATGGAGACTTGAATG